CAGTGCGGCCGCCCCGCCCGGCCGAGGGCCGCGCTCCCCGGCGGCGGGTTCCGCTGCCCCGCGGGAAGAAGGTCTGCGCTGGCCCAGAGCTGCCCGGCCGGACGAGCTCAGCTAGGGCCTGAGGCTGCCTAGGTCTGGTTCTGCGGTCTGAGGAGCTGTTGGTTGAACTCCTTTCGCGCTTGATTAACCCTGTTTATTTTAATAAAGTACCTTTTCGCCATTAGTATAGATCGCGACCTTTACATTGAGTCTGACCCCAAATGTCGCAACGCGCTGGAGTACGCTGAAACACGGATTCCTCCCCACCCTTCTTCCTCTGCGTCCCTTCCCCTCCTCACAAGCACTTACTTTTTCACAAGATATTTCTCCCTTTTCTCTGCTTGCCCTGCTAATTTTTTTTCTTCTCTTACCTTTTCATCCTGTTTTCTTCCCTCCTTTCTCTCACCTCTGGCAGCCTCAGGACTCTCTCCCTTCTTGAGGAGGGTTTGGAGTTCTTCACGTTTGTAGATTTTAAAGCCAGAGAGCACTACGATGATCTGGCCTGGACCATACAACTTCCTTCAATGAATTGCTTAAATTACTGGATATCTTTCATAAACAAAACAGGATTGCATCTATCTAGTCAGCATCCTATCGCTGTGCTACACCCTTGGCAGCTATGTGCAGACACCTTCTTTCAGCAACTTTCTTTTTCCCATGTTGGCAGTTACCTAAATTGTGATCATCCTTCAGCTTCTCTGTTTCATTCACTTGCACCTCTCCTCCTGCATTTCTCAGTAGACTCCGAGAATGATTTCTTGACCTCGGTACTTCAAATACCCATCAGAACTCCGCTCTCCTGGGCTTTTAAGCTTTTATAAAGTGCCATGTGTGACTACCAGGTCAATTTTTCTCCTCAGCATTGGGAAGTTTTTCTAATCTGGGACCTTCCCCTGTAAAACGCAAGCTCAAAAAAACTGCTAATAAATGGTTAGGTTTTACTTTTCATCTGGATTCTCTTTACTCACATTGGCCAGACCCACAGCCTGTGGGTCATGATCCCCTTTCCTAAGGCACTCAGCCACAATGAGTACAAATCAGAGCTCTTTTCCTCCATACTCCTGGGAAGTAATATTTTTCTACCTACCAACCTAGATAAAAGCTTTTTTAAAGTCTTTATCATACCTTGTCTTTGTGAAACTCTTTCTATCTTTTATCCATTTATCTTGCTTATACCTCATATTAATTTAAAACACAACCGCTTATTGAGATGAAAGCATAGGAGCAGACAACCACTAGAGCTTTTCAAGCCCATGTACTATATTTAAAATATTTCCAGGTAACTGAACCAAAATAAACATGTTTTAATGACACAGTGGGGCAGAATGTGGCACCCAAAAGCTCTTTGGGCATTGCAATACCTTTTAGAAATTAAGAAGAATATACATCCCAGGTGGTGGTTGGGATTTCTGAGGTTATATTAAAGAGCACTTTGTAAAAGTCATTAAGGTCAGCAATCACTCACAAATTATTTCTACTCCCTGTTTTGCCTTCGGAAAAGGAGAAGCCCTCAGATAAATGTTTAGAAACTGGAAAAGAGAAGCAATAATTTTACACGGCATTTCTCTTTCTACCGATAAAATACCTGTTCGTGTGACCACGTCCGTTCTGAGCCATCCTTCACACAGATGTCTAGCCGCAGCTCTGTCCCGGTGGCTCCGTGTTTACTGTCCACACAGAGGTTGGCTGCCACATTTCGAATCTGCAAAACCAAGCAGCAACATTTCATGTTAAACCAGGCTGCAGAACAGAACATTAGGGGGTTAGGAGTTTAGCTCTCTTAATTAGAAACTGCAGGGCTTCAGACTGACCATTAGTTACAAAAAACTGGCGGAACTTACATTTTACAGGGTAGAGAGCCACGTCCTGGAATGAACTATTATTTCTGTGAACAGCTTTAGAAACAGCAAAATTTGAAATATTCTGCTTAACAAATGAAAGGTAGGTCCGTATGAAATATTTTAATGCAAAGAAACTAAGAGGGAAAAAAGTCTGAGAAGCTGAAAGCTCATTCTGACTGCTTCTTCCCTCCTACCAGAGCAAGAGAGGTCAACTGTATTAAGACTAAGTGATTTCTGTATGAGTCTCTCACAGGCTTTGGAGCAATATTTCTTGAAAACTCAAGCACTCCTTGTTCCAATACTTGTTTTTACTTTGACACAGTAACACTGTTGTAGAGAAGGTCACACATTTTATGCTCAAAGTGCATAAAATTAAAAAGTACTTAATAAATCTGTACTGAAACTGTGCTTACCCATGGTGGTTCCTTGTGTTGTCTAGAAGCTTTCTGCAAACACTCCATAGTGTAACTTATTCTTAAAAGGAAAATCTCATTTTTGAGACTGAAGCAACTAAGCAGGAAGTGATCTGTGACTATCAGTCATACCAGTTAGGTACCACTGCTGCCATGCATATTTTTCTGGAAGACTGGTTTGAAAAGGAGTGGGTTGCCCACTGCCACCAAAAAGAGGGAAATCCTATATTTATTTTGCAAATACATGCATATTTCTCCTTGAGTACCTTAAGTGGGGCTATTTAAAAATCCTTTAGACACCTCCAGAATGAGGAGAATTTCTTAAAGACTTTCCATGTCAATGACATACACAGAAAATGAGTATTCAAGGTCCACATACACGCATGGTGATGTGCACGAATTCTGTCTGTATAATATACAGAAAGCGGGTGCATTTTGACATTCTGGCCACTACTTTGATCCTTATTTAAAAAAAATAAAAGCTAGATGCCAAATGGAGATACAGTTGAGTTGACATTTGTATTTTTTCATGGAAAATATTTTAGAAGTTAGCATTGTTGCAGTATTACATTAGACAAATATAAACATTGCCATTCTTAAATACTGCATACCTCACACATAAAAATGAAGGACAGAAAACTTCTCAGTATTGCACAAAACATTGCAAGGAGAGGCAATCCTCATGCTTGTAAGGCACATGGGAGAGCTACTCTGCTTTTTCTCATTCTGGAGGACTGGAATTCACCATGTCTAAGTCTATTCACCATGTTCTAAGAAAGATTTAGACAGATGGGAAAGCAACAGGAACTGGAGAAAATGTAAAAAAAGTCACCTTCAGAAAAGGTTGTAGGAGTTGCATTTTTTCAGCCAAGAAAAGAGCAGATTGGGCAAATGATGGGAGCATCAGTTTGAGTGACTGGCTCCAAGAACCTCTAAGTCCTCACTGGCACTTGGAGAAGTATTCTTCTAAAATATGGACAAGCCTAGTTCTAAGGTATTTTTTCTTATTTCAATACAATAAAAATTGCTATAGATGAGGTAAAAGACTAGTATTTCATACACACAACCCGATGCAGAAACTCAGCACTGAGCCCCACAGTACAAAGGATCATGTTAACTGAAAAAAAGGATGAAAGGTAATTAGTTCTCAACAGCCCTGCCTTCATTTTCATATCACTCAGCAAAAGAGACAGGAAAGAATAATGAGGGGAATAGATTTTAATTCTGTATTTTTAAAGTTTCATGTGAATTACCTACTTCAAGTATAATTTTTTCAAGAGTGCTCAATCATTTCTCATTACATTGTATAAATAAAGATTACTGGCCTAATACAAAATTATATGATATATCAGTTCTGTTCTTAGAGCATGCTGCTAATTAAAATGGAGCTGTTAACAATTGCCATTAATAACTGGGGTATATTTCTGTGATTCAGAGTTGTAAAATGACAGTGAATACACTCCACATCCAATGCTTATTGGACTGAAGGGCTTTCATAATTTTGTCTCGATGGCATCACTCCATCCTGTTCTCCGTCACGTGGACTATGTGGTAAATTTGTTCTATGCATTTCTGGAGAAGGTTTCAGCTGAAGCTAGATTTAGTTCCTTCACTGCTGGAATCTGTCTCCCCTGTTCTTTACTTCCTCTTCTTCTCCTTCTGCTCCTGAAAGGTTTCCTTGAAGTAATTTTTCCCCTGGTTTGTAGCAGCTTACATGTTAACTCATCCTTTCTTTTTTTTTTCTTTTCTTTTATCCTTCCTTTCAACTGCAGAGGGGTCATAGTTTGTTTCTCATTTTCTTTTTGTAATACAAGCATTTCAGTGAAGTCTGTGCTTTTGTTTTCTGGTGGTTTTGTTTTCTCTGTGGTCTTGGCAGTTGCTAGAAATTGAACTGAGCCATCATGCTGCTGCCAGAGCCACAAGGAATGTTCTGCTGAGCACCAGCACCACACAGCCTGCAAATCCCCTAAGATGCTTTCATGGAAGAAGGAGGGAGAGCAGAAGCACAGCCAGGAGAGGCTTTTTTCTCATTTACACATCAACATGCATTTGAACTGCCTTGTCTCCAGTCACTCACATAACGGATTTTTAAGGCCATGAGTTACAACTAGCAATGAAATATGTAGTACTCCTAATATGCTCACATTTCCAACATTTGTATTTGTGCAATTGTAGAGACTGGGGATGAACAGGAGACAGATTTTATCACCCTTGCGGGTAGGGCATTGAGTTGCTACATACAGCACTTGTATGCTCAATGTTAAATGAGGAGTCTGTATGGACTAACAAAGATGGTTAGCAGTCATCTTAAAGGCTGGTTTAGAATTAAAGAAATTCTGAAAAAAAGCTTGGGACACTATATGTAAGACATTATGCATATTTAATTTTTGAAATGCCATCCTAACATGTTAGGACGTAGATACTAAGACTATGGGGCCTGTAGTCCTTATAAAGAGCAGATGAGATGCAAAAGCACAGAGAATACAAACTTTAAGGGGTCTGTTTTGTCCCTCTTCAACACTGGAGGTGTCCGAGCAGGGATGTGAAGGCTTTTCAGTGCTGCACTGATGTTCGGGAAACGAAGACCTGTCACCTGAGTGGGATTTCTGCTGGTGTAGCATCTGACTTCTGTGCTTTAAATAAGGTAGCAAGCCATAAACAGAAATCAGTGGGTAAGCCTAGATACAGTAATCCTTGGGTTTGACAAAAAGCAGTTAACGTATGTTAAAGTACAGCTTGCTTTCTCTAAGTTAGCCTGCCCACGTCAAAAAGACTTTTCTCCAGAGTAGGCCAAGCCTTCAGTAGCTTAGCTCGCTAGCACTGCGATGGCAGAGAGGAACATGTTGTAAAATAAGAGCTGGAAGATGGGAGGACAGAAGGCCTGAAAGCCTAGACCTTAGGTTTGAAGATGACATTGTTGCCTCTTGACATTTGAATCTGATGATCTAATAGACACATATTCAAGGGTAAAAAAAAAAAAAAAAAAGAGAGAGAGAGAGAGAGAGAGAGCACGCTGTTTTTGGACACCTATCAAGAAAGGAAAAAAAAATTACAAAAAAAAAAAAAAAAAAAGAAGAAAATCAGGGGTTCCCAAACAGTCTTTATATATTGCAGAATATATGGCCTCCCAGATAACTTGACCTCTGGTTAAATTAATGTTGGAGTTTTACAGAGAGACAGCAGTTATATGATTTAATAAGCTCTCCATTAAGATGGTCTAGCACTACACTCAAAACCATCATATTTGTTGTTAGTACACAAGCATGGAACAGAAACTGGAAAGTAATGTAGGTGTTGATTACCACGATAATCCTCTTGTCAGAAAAGCAACAATCTTCTGAGGAAAATGAAGGGTCGCAGGCCATTGATACAATCTGCTAGGATTAATTTTGAAATATTTGAACATTTTGTCAGGAGCTGTGTAATGGACGCATTAGCATGCTCCATGTTAAATGGAGAAAAAAACCAAGATAACCATAACCCCACACTTTAAAGTAAAGTGAACTTTCCCCTTCCTTTTAAAAGAATGTATTTTAGGCTGAAAAAGAAATTACAGAGGGAAATTAAAGCCTCTCAGGGTCTAGTGGTTGTACTGACCAATTTTCTTTGGTAATTGTAAAACTCTACAACTCTCTTCACAGGTAAATGAGTTCCTGCAAGATTTGCTGTTAAAGTAGTGGGTGATGTCCTGACTCCAGCAGCCTTGCCCTGCCTGCCCCAGAGCCAGGCTGTCACCTCAGGTCACTTCAGCCTTCCTGGGGGCAGAGGGAAGCAAGTCAGAGAGGGAGAGACGCTCCCAGGTGTTCTGGGAACTACCCTGCCTGCTCATCATGGCACAAAACTGTCTGCACCAAAAGCAAAAAGTGTGAAAGCACAGCAATCTAAAGACAACTTTATGTTCAATATGGTCACCTGTTAGAAAACCAAATGTGGAGATGGTGCTGGGACTATCCTTAAGGTGCCCCAATAAAGCAGCAAAAGAAGCACCTTAGTGCTATCAGTTTATATAATACTTTCCATACATCTGATTGAATGCCTAAAATAAGAAAGCAGCTGTAGGTCTTTGAAGACATTAGCAATGTTCATTTATGTTGCTTTTTTTGTTTGAGCAGCACTTCTTAAAGCCAGTTTTAGTATACTGCTTACATTCTCTGATAACCCTAGGGCCATCAACATCTACAGATCAAGTATGGAAAAATAAGACACCTTTCCTGTCAACTGATACACGTAATTTAAAAAGTATTTATCCTTTGTGTGAGCCATAAAAAGGAAAAGTTGAAGTTAAAAGAAGTCAAGCACTGCCAAAGACCTCACTGAAAAAAACAGGGGACTGTTATTAAGTGTGACACTGATCCCGATGAAAGAATTTGAACAGCTCAGCTGTGTAGCGCTCCATGCATCCAGGGTGGGGAACAGCTGGTTATATTGCTTTTGTACAACAGGCATGTGACACTCAGTGGGCTGAGATTGACTCATTAAGGGTATGAGGATGACACTTTTAAAAAAGAAAGTAATCAAAAGAGAAGTTAGTGAATTCTTAGGCTTTAATCTTTTTTTCAAATGTGCTACTTGACTTAACTTCAATGGGTGACATTTTCATGTCAGTGCTGTAAAACAATTCTGTAAAATCCATGGGTCTGGGACTGAGAAAGGAGTATTTTCAGGTCCTACAGGTTAGCACTGCTTCAGTGACTGAGAGACTTGCTATCTATTAAATCATTGAATAACAAGTTCATGTAACAGCAAATTAAACCAAGCTTAAGTGTTTCCCTTTCGACTGAGTAAAACAATTTTTTTTTTCCACATCACCTTGTCTATAAGACTCATGAAGCCTAAAATAAATTACAATGGCTGATTGATATGGCATAATATGATTGATTCACTGTAAAATGTGTTTTCAAAGATACTGTTGGAAGCTATAATATCTGCACAATATATTAATGCTGGATCACAGCTTGTAGATTCATGAGTACTTCCCAAGTAAACATTTAGTATCCAAATCTCAGCTAATGCAGCTATTGTTTTAACTTCCTTCAACAGAATTTCAAATACACTTTACTGTTTTATGCTGTTTTAGAAAGAGAATGGGATGGGTATTACTGTTTTTCAACTGGTAGCATATGTTCCAATATATTTGGAAGGATAAGGAAAAAACCTAATTGAAAACTTTATTTTTTTTTTCCATGGTGGGAGAGCAGAAAGTACAGTTTTCTTACCAGACACAGAACTGACAGTCTCGCGAACCTTAATCTGTCTGGATTCGCTGTTACATTGCTTTACTGCACATATTTCAGATGTTACAAAGCAGAACAGAGTATCAAGGGAACACACACCCTGCCAGCGACAAAGGACAAAAGGCACAAACAAGCAGAAGAGATAAGGCCACAAGTAGCAAAGAATATTGGGGTTTTTTTGCAAATTTCCTTCTTTTCAATCATGAACACATTTCGTCAAGAAAAGTAAGAGTCAGATTTTAAATAAATGTGTTTGCAAAAATAAAGTTGTGCAGAGGCTATGAGATGTGTGCTTTCACACCACACACTTTTACTAGCTAGATATCAAAATACTGGAGTCAAAAATTGTCTGAGTGCCTCATTGTTTATTCTTCCTCAGACTGGCAGAGGGAAGCAGATGAAAAGCCTTTCCAAGAGGAAGCAGAGAGGGTACGAAATGACAGTCAGTCTTGGCACAGACTTTTGGTGTGTATAATCAGCAAGGTTTCTAGAGCTGCTTGATTCTTACAAAGCAATAACACACAGTCTGTTTTCCTCTTTCAGCTTCTAATTATGACAGCCATTGACCTTCAAGTTTGTTCAAGTTCCTTGCAAGTGCCAACAAATTAATTAAAACTTCACAGGAATGTGACAGTCTCAGGAAAAAATAGAGTAGTAGGGCTGAACCTGCTCTGCTATTTTAGAGAAAGTACATTTTAGAGGAAACAAAAAGCCTTTGGTCTTCAGTTCTTTCCTAAGAACTCAGTAAGTGCTTCTAAGGTACAGATTTGATACCACTGCTATGATCTTTGATTTACTTTTTAAAAGTCTTGCTTTTGTGCAAAGAGTATATTAATATTGTTGTGAAAAGAATGAATACCTGAATCACAATCTCTTCCATTTAGACCCTCTGACTGAATTAAGGATTGTTCAGCTTGTCAGAGAAATTACACATCCCATGATCACAATCCTGCAAGGATGCACATGTATATATGTCGAAGATGATGGAGGAAGACAATAGCAGCAGTCACAGCACCCTGATCCAGCATGACTTCTACTGATAAACTCATTATATCTTGGTATATATTAACCCATAAAATGTGGGCAGCAGTATCAGAGATAGAAGAAACAGTAACAAAGGAATTCATTATTGCCAAGAACTAGCAAACAGTAAGACACACATAAATTGAAGTTCCTGTTAACATCTGTAAGTGGTAGCTTACCAAGAAGAATTAAGGACTGCTACTACCACAGCAAGTTATTTGTAAAATTTCTCAATGAAGTAATTTACATTTTTTAAAAGAAATTCAGAATAGTAGAGGCACCTATGTTTAGAAATCCCCTGCACGGTCCAGCCTTGACCACTGGGAATATGCAGAGGTGTAAGGGGTCTTACCAAATGCTTTGGTCAAAGTTTCAACTTCATCCTTTGGTTTCAAATAGAAAAGGTAATTGTCTGAGAGCCCCAAGAAAATGTCCATCAAAATCAGAGCGGGCCAGAACTCACAATACAGATATGCCTATGGTTTTTAAAAAAGTTGTACAATACACTGAAAGAACCAAACCTTCTTTATAAATCTTAATGAACTGAGAGGAAAGAGCCCTCTACATGCCACCTTTCCATGAAGTGGATCCACTGTAGTTCCTGGAGGTAAAAGGCCACTGCAATTTTTCAGTGGAGCAATGGAAGTAATTTCCTGTGCCCACACTCTTTGTGTTTTCATTTCTTCTACACAAAACAGACTGTCAATGTGAGGTGTGCTACAGCTCTACTCTTCAGAGGTCTGAATGCAGAACATCTTTGATCATGGGTGGAGAGTTCCAGCAGGCTGTTTACTTGCCCCCTGCTCTGGAGTGGTGCTCAGATATTGGTGTCTCTTTGGTGGTCTCTCCCTCCCCCCATCTCCCAAATGAGAAATTGCACTTGTCTGCTACTGGTACTTGGTCTTGAAAGCACCTACAGAATGCAGACCACAAGCTGAGCAAAACCAGTCTTTTTAAAAGAAAAGTATCCAGGCTTCAGTTGTTACACTTGCATGTGTGGGCAAAACAGAGCAAACCTAACTCCACCTACATACAACTGTCCTTGTAAGAACAGGAGAGGGTAGTAAAAAAGTGTGCACTTCAGACCTCCTTTTCATTAAGGTGATTCTCAGCATCTAAAATCATCTTGTGACATGCAATAATGAGTATTACATACTCTTCTCCACATTCTTCTCCGCATTGTGTATGCATCTTATGGCATATGCACACAAAATTGTAATAAATAATAAAAGCGACAACAATAATTCTAAGACAAGACTGTTTCTCATTTTAACGGCTAGTCCAAGGATTGTTCCAATCACTGTAAGCTCCCTTAGTAACACTACTTATCATAGCAGCTAAATCTAATTTCATAATTTTAATTTCCTGTAATGTAAAATGTTTAGTTACTAGTTTAAATTTGATCTAATTTGTGTATTCCTCACCTCCCCCCAGGCAGCAGGTGGAGGCTCCACAGGAGGGTAATATTTGGGGACATCCCAAGCCACTGCAGCCATGAACCACTTGAAATCTTTACATTTAAGGTGCTTGCGAAGTTCCTTCTGGGCAGAGATATCACCAGTTGAGAGATGTCTGTACTCAGGCCGTCGCTGGTATATGTACTCTGCAAACTCATCCATCCATGTCTCTGCCACGCGCTTCAGGTTCTGTGCAGCAGAAAAGATGCACACATTAATTTCTTCATGCTTTGAGTGAACAATATTTCTAGTCAGGAGAGTTAAACAAAAAAAAAAATTCAGTAGTCCACATAACTTTTAAGCTTAGCTGGTCTAATTTCTCAGTCTTAAAACATTGAAAAATACTGGCAAGCATATGCTATCTTCATTACAGTATGGTCTTCTGTCTGTTGAATATGTTATTTTCCTTCCATTCTTTATGCATTTTTACATGGGTTTTTGATTAATGATGGATGTTGAACAGAAATTTTCTTTCAGATGCTCACATTGATTTTTTCCTGTTAGTTCAGAACCTACTAATGTGCAGGAATAGTTCCAATTATTCCTTCTGATGTATTTCACTTTGCATTTGAAAGGCATCTGAATTTTCAGCTGTCATCATACTGCTTAGTCACCTATCAATTCCTACCTAAATTTTAGGGTTAAGTGTTACATGCACATGTACGGGGGCAAACAGTCATGAGCTTGCTCTGCCCCAGCCCCATCTCACAGCTGGTTTTGCACTACCTTTGGACTGGAAGCTTTGCTGTGTTGGTGTGCTAGTAAGTCTGTGCAAAAGCATAGCACTAACCCTGAAGTGGAGCTGACCTGAAGCAAGGTAGCATATAGGATAGGTATGGCAACTTGTGGCTTTCTGCACTCATCTTATAGACGTATCTGAGACTATTTCTGTTCCCTGAAACCCAGTTCTGGCTTATGTCCCATCAAACTATTTTTTGTTGGCATTTTACAGGAAACAGAATTACATATTTTGTTGCGTAAGGATTTATTCAAATTATAATTAATGAAATTAGCTGACTCAAATTATAAAATTAAAAAAAAAGACTTGTAAGGAAAAATCCTGAACAGATATATTCTTCAGACTGAAGAGATATATTTTAGTGTTATTTTGCATCATGGAGTCAAAATAGGCCAGGTCCAAATTATTCTGTATTTTTGTTTGTTTTTAAAACTCCTCCTGCAACTTAATCCACACAAATTTATATGCAGATGTCATAGTGGAGCACAGGCTTACTCTGCTTTGCATTTCCACAGCTGACCAGTAACCTCTTATCCCACCAACAAAGCACCATCTCACTGGATGACACTGAAACACTAGGGTGTTCTTATTGCTTTGTTTGTAAAAACAAGATAATCAAGTTCTGTAATATTCTTTTTATAGAACACTGACAGCAAACTGCTGTGATTCGCTCTGTAATAAGCTGGAGGACATTATACATCTGATTATCATCAACATAAGGTAATATTTCTTCTCGGAACATGCTCTGTATCTAAGTAAGCCTGATTTGTGCTCTGATTTGCTTTCAAGATTCATTTGAAAATTCCTTTCCTGAATTTTATTAAACCACACAAACTAAATGTCTCTGAACTAATAAAGCTTATCGGAATACAAAGATGGCAAGATACAGAAAAAAAAAAGTCCTTTTAACTGAAACTGCAAGATAAATTTCTATGTGCTTTCTCTCTGTGAAGCAAATACATTAAAACCTGCAGGGATAAAGCAAGTAAAATTAAAGCAGTATAAGAAATCACAACACTTGTACCCCTATTAAAAAATGCTCCATGCCCCACATAAGGTTGACTTTTGATGTAAGTTTATGAAAAACTAAATTACAAGAAATTGAATTAAAGAATATAAGAACTGGGTAGGACAAAGAAAACCAGAACAAATTCAAGAACATCTAAATGACAATCCCACCTTTCTGGCAGAAACCCTGTAATATGGAAATCTCCCGACAAACAAAAATACTATGTGATGAGACTTTGTAGATGAGGCCAAAATATGATTAAGCACATTAAACTAAGAAGCCAAAATAATGAAAATAAGCGTGATGTTTCCAGCATATTTTCCACTTGTAAATGCTGTACACCTCATTTACTATAATGCAAATGAAGTTTAAGACTGTTCTAGAAAATATTATACTATTTTTTGCAATCACTGTATCTGACAGTGCTATTGTCATATTTAAAAACCATGCTGTAAAAAAAGAACCATACAGAAAATGTACAGTAAAAAAAATTCTCATAGGAAAGAAAAATTCAAAATAACTCCAGCAAAGACTTACCCCATCAATATGAAGAGCTGGCTCTGCTAGAGTCTTCTCTTTAGTTATTTGGCTATGCTAAAAGTACTGCATTCTGCTTCAGATTATTTTAACTGAATAAAAAAGGAGTCCAACAGAAATCTTGGTATTATACCTTGTCACTAGCTCAAAATTCTCATTCACCAGTCAAAACCTTTGTTTTCCAGTGAGTCTTTATCTCTGCTTTTTTGTGTGTGTTTGTAAACACAAAACATTGCATTAATACAGTTCTTCCCATCTTTTCCCAAGTAGCAGGTAAGACACTTTAGATGAATCTATTTAAAACTTTGTTTCCAGTTCTTCTGAGACCATTTTCTCCGTCACATGCTAAAAATCCTCCTAAATCTTGCCAGATCCTGCAATGAACCCAAATATTTTTCTTAGCTTGCTTATACACTGCTGTAACTAGCTAAACCCTTATGAGGCAGCCCTTCGAATAGGTTCCCTTTTAAAAATACAAACTCTTGATTTGCTAGCTCTACATCTCTAGACTGTTTATGAACACAACTGCAAAGAACTCTCTGTCCTGGAGTAGTGCGCTGCTCTTTCTGAAGCTGACATTTACCACGAAGCAAGCACTCAGCATCCAAACACTAGTTTTAAAGAGGTTTGTTGACTTCATTTAGCATGGGTTTCTTATCCTTGTTATCACTATGCAAGCTCAGTAATCACCACACTTCCTTTTAACATAAACATATACAGACTAGTAGTAAAACTTGAAATTATGGTTAATCTCCATACTTGAATTGAATGCAGTCAGGTAGAGGTGCTGTCCTGAAAACTAGTCTGGTGCAACCTCATCCAGCCTGGCCTTAAACACTTCCAGTGAGGGGGCATCCACAACTTCCTTGG